GTAAACAAATAATTTTATAACACCATTATTTAAACGGGGATGCTGTGGTAGCCGAGTGGGCAAAGATCTGGGTTCGTTTCCCCTCATGGTTGCAATACGTGAAGCGTATTAGCTTAATGTTTCCGGCTGTGATATTTGCTGGAATATTGCTAAAATGCGTAAAACATTATGACTCACCTTTTTAAAAAGATAATGACACAATATGGTATGTTGTGCATATGAAATTCATTTGTAGAGGGGTTGAGTTGAGGTCTAACGCCATTTGTAGAGGGGTTGAGTTGAGGTTTAACGTCATTTGTAGAAGGGTTGAGTTGAGGTCTAACGTCATTTGGATTAGTATTATATCCGTGCACGACTTGGCTGGCTACGTACTACTTCAAGGAGGTAAATGACGGAATTCTTTATTACAAGCAATATTTAATACTTTCATATAGAATAACTTATATTAGTCACACTTCAGAACGTTCTCAGGTGAGTGAGTTTAGCTTTTAGCAATATTCCAGCAGTATCACGGCGGGAGACACAAGTTGCTTGAAATGGGCTTCACGCATTGTACCCATATACATTGTACGAAGTAAGCGCTTCGATTAATGGATGATATGTCTTAATGATAATATGTCCATTCATCATTGTTCATGTTTCAGATGGGAGCGGGCTGTAATAAGCTACATAACTTGTGTCCAATCCCTTTCAACATTGAATAAAAATATGTTCAAACAACAAACCCAGGTGGGAAATCGAACTCTGGTCTTCGGTGTGATGAGCGAACGTTTTAACCACTAGGCTACCTCACCGCCCCTCCTCTCACAAGACGGGGACAGGCACAACAGTTTAAACATCGTCAATCCATGGAAAAACACATCATGAGGACATACAGTTTATTGTTATATCATCTATAATATTAAAGTATTTTCAGCCAAATTTCAAGGGTTAAATGAAAAGACAGAAGAGATGTGTTCGAATACCTTAAACGAGAAAACACAAAATATGTAGTGAATACCAACGGATTAGAACAGAAAATTGGATTAGAATAGGGATGAAGGTTTTGAAAGGCATTTAGAAGTTGGACGAACATGAATACATGACACGTTTTTATGGATCAGGTGAATGAAAGAGCAAAAATTAGCTCTGAAACGTCGTATAAAGAATAAAAAGAAATTGTTATCTACAAAAACGTCACATATTAGTAGCATGGGGATCTTAGGATATTCTTTTAGCTCTTGTATTAGCCAGTCAAGAGGAGGAGCTGTATTGTTCCAAGTTAATTTCGAATTCCAAATATTAGAAGAGATCAAAGACAACGATAATTGAAATTACATAATACTTAAATTAGAAACAGACAGTGAAATTATTATCAAAACAAATGTATGTGGCCAGAGTATTGATAAACATGAATTTTACCTGAAAGTTAAAAATGCTTTTGATTTATGATTTAAACACAGCAAATATATTTGATGACGTAAATCTTGTACGGGGTCAAGACCTGGATACATTTAATTACAAACATAGGAATGATCCTAGATCAAGATAAGTGGTGCTTGTAATGCAGGAATTAAGTATATATTATCTTTGTAGAGGTGAGGTGAAATTGGGTTTAACGTCGTGCTTGAGAATATTACGCTCATACGACGACGTGCATGCGTGTGTATGTGTATGTGCGGCTGCTTGTACTAGCCCAGACTTAAGCTGGTTTTATTGTGCTAGCCCACTGAGATACCATGCCGCAGTGAAGCATGAATACCCCACGCAGACACATTATACTGACTCCGAGACGACCAGTCCTTGTTGTACCCATTTAAACCGAGCGCCCAGGCAGGGACCAACAAGTACCATATTTTAACGTCTTTTGGTATGACGCGGTCGGGGATCGAACCCGCGACCTTCCGCATCTTTGTAGAGAACGCAACTGGGAGTGAGTGAGTCAATGGCTTTAGTTTTACGCCGCACTCAGCAATATTCCAGCTATATGGCGGCGGTCTGTAAATACTCGGGTCTGGACCAGACAATCCAGGGATCAACAGCATGATCACCGATCTACGCCATTGGGATACGATGACATGTGTCAACCAAGTCATCAAGCCTGGAACGCAACAGGGATACCGATTGATTAACATGAAGAAATTCAAAGCCACTTTAACACATCTATAAGGGTTTCTACTTAAATTCGTTCACTCACTGAATGGAAGTCTTGTTAAATGATGAATGAAAAGTTGAAGCTCAAAAGATAATCTTTTGTGAACGTGAGATATTTGACCGAAATCGTGTAATAACTTAACTGTCCGATGTCCAGCTGATTTATGTGGTAAAGGTCATTGTGTGACATTTAACGGATGAACGGCAGTAGGCCGTGACATTATGCCACAACGGCTTGCTGGAAGGCACAGATGCGACAACTGAACCCGTCACAAAGAACAAACACCACGAATTTACTTAGAAATTGTACACCTTCAGGAAAACTGTGATTTATGGCCTGGAGCGGCGTTGCGAAGTAGATTATTCCTCTGAACTGACTACAACCATGTGATGAGCGCATAATGTGTTGTAATAAGCAGCTCATTAACATTAACAAGAAAAGGTAATAGATACAACATAGCATGCAGATAACTGGAGCAATCCGGGAATAAGCGGATAGTATTCAGATAATGAGGCGTGCGTGCGTGTGTGTGCGTGCGTACGTGTGTGTCATACATACTTACATGCTCCCCCCTTGCTCTCTCTCCCCTCTCTCCCTCCCTCAAATCCCCCATGTATTTAAATACATACTAATGGAAACGAATAAGGGAACACATGAAAGTGCAAGTGTTCCTATGTTCTTTTCCAGATTTCTTCACAAGGTATGTATTGCACTGCGAGTACTTTCATGTGTTCCCTTATTCGTTTCTATGAGTAAATTATTCAATTCAATTACAACAAAAACTGTATCATAACTGACTCCTACACGAGCCTTCGACATTAATATTGTTTAAAGTGAAAGATTGGAGATTTGTAGTTTATGAACACAAAACTATAGGCACTCTGAAAGTAAAATGTGTCACATCTACTTAGCACTTTGCCCAGAATGCTTTGAAGAGAAAGTCCAACTTCAAAGCATCCTGGGCAAAGCGCTACACAGATATGACACACTTGAAAGTCAAAGATAAAAGCCAAGTTGTGAAGGGGTTTTACAATGATTTTACAGGCGGATCAATTAATTTCTGCGCGTGATGTTCGGTGCTTAATTTGAGTCCGTAACCGCTATTCGGCTTCATTCGTGACCAACTCGTGTTATTCCGGGACAAGCCGAATAGCGTTTACGGAAAGGGGCGAGTGGTGACGAATGATTCGGCTTGTCCCGGAATAACACGAGTTGGTCACGAATGAATTTGAGTGTGTTCGCCTCCCATGTAGTTCCCCAGAAAATGTAGTTCAATCAAATAAACTTTTGCTGTTGTTTTTAAAAACAACTACACGTATCTACACTTTAAGATGTGTGTCTTTCTAATGCATAAGATCATACTTAGAAATGGTGGAATTAACTTTTCTTAAAACCATATAAACGAACAATGTTCACGAGGAAGTATTTTGGTCAGAGTAAGACTTATGCACTGGTGATTACAAACCGATTACGGATGACCTGGTGGTCAATGGGTTAAAGGTGACGTGGATGTGTAGAATTACGATCCTCAGCTTGCTAGGGCCCGCTGATTGTACAAAGCGATCTTAGCGCTAAGGTGACCGTAACTCCCATACCTTTACATAGACTTAGCGCTAAGGATGTTTTGTACAACATCACCCAGGACCCCCTGGTAGTGGATTTAAATATAACATTTGCCTGATTATGAATTTCCGTTTGTCCTAATGAAACACATTGTGGATTTCCATACTCAAGGCATAGAATATATTACTAGTTTACTTGTTGACAAATGAAGTAATTATATATGAACACGGTTATTTTCTGTTTTTGTATCTCTGACGATGATGTGAGCCAGAATTCACGTAATGATTAATCAGCCTCAGATCACCCAAAATATTGTTAGTGGTCTTCAATCGTTACATCTACGTAGTCCTTCAAGAGTTTGGTCCCTTGGACAGAACCCGGACGTTTTGAAACGGGTGCACGATGTGAAACTACTTCAAACTTATTTCAATTATGTATCCAGCTATTTGAACAATATAATGGAGTTGATTGGACAGTGATTGGAATTGGGCATCCCATAGCTGACAATCGGATTGCAGAATGTTTAGATAGTAAATACATCTACTGTGCCGACAGTGATTGGAAAGGGCATCCCAATTTAGCGTGAAAACATCGCAACCTTTGATGTTTTAAGTACATTTACTCAACTGAAATCGCCCAGTGTCAAACTCAGTGTCAAAATGAAATTGTTCTTAAAACGCACAAATGTACCCATTGTTTACCGTCGCCGAAATACCTTAGTTAAGCGTGCGACGTTAAATAAAGCAAATAACAACAACCATTGTTTGTTAGTTTTTCGTTTTATGGGGATTTTTTTTCTTTTTTGGGTATACATAACATAATAATTTTTCTGAATATACATAATATATATTATGCAAGCTTAATGATGTTTCATTTTTCATATTTTACCATTTTTATTAGACATATATATTAAAATATCTAGTTTTACAATATAACATGGAGTTTTGAAATTGTATATTTATTGCTTATGAAAAAGACAAAAGAATTCAAATGCCACATGTTGTGACACATGAACATTGATTAAAATTGGGTGGTGTAAAGTAAATTTAAAAATATAATAAGATCTTGCTAATGTTATAATGAAATGAAATAAAACATGAGTCAACGTCATACTTTGATTTATATATGGTGCCGTTTTCGCCCAGACATCAGTAGCCGTTTTCGCCAATATGGTGCCGTTTTCGCCACACAAATTTGGTGCCGTTCTGCTGTGGTGCCGTTTTAGCTATAACCCTTTGAAACGGCACCTATCGAGAAGTTTGGATGAATAGCTTTAGATATTTCGATTGGCGATTAGTTTAATAAACACTGTAACCAATTTGTCATCACATGTAGTGCAGTGTTTATGTAGGCACTGGCAGTGTCATTAAGACAAATATTATGACTAAAGAATATGCCTGTCCAGTTTTCGATCACAAACTGCAAATACACCGTTTCGTGCCGCCCATGTGTCACCTGTCGACTGACGTTCTGTCTCGTAATGCCTCTTAATGATGCCGGTGTATGATTTATACTTATATATTTTTTTAGTATTACTGAGGGGATCCATTCTCTTCCCACGGAGGTTACTTGTCATATCTTCGTAGGAATTAAGATATGACAAGCACAGGGGCTTGTAACGCTAAAAACTGCCATCAAGGCATATACTGTCACTGACGGGGTCTTAGTACTATATATAGTATATGCAGTTTTTAGCGTTACAAGCCCCTGTGATGACAGGTAGCCTCTGTGGGAAGAGAATGGAGGGGATCATGACCCTCTTAAATAGATGTGACCACAATAACTGTGGACTTGCATATACTGATTCATCCAAATGTTACCCCAGGAAAGGGTCAAATAATAATTCTGTTATGACATTACACATAATAAAGTTGAACCACATTTCTGAATAATGCAACCAGTGTAAAATGTTCAGATTTTATGAGACCAGTATTGATGATAAAACTGTTGCTGTTAAATATAATTATAGAATTTTTTTCTTTATTCCAGATAGACACACAGAAATCACAATGACATAACTGTCATTGTGATAAATATGGAGGACCACCCAAAATGCACTGTTACAGGATGTCATGGTGTAGGCATACCAGGGTATAATGGAAGATGTCAAACATGTCATCAACAATTGTCAGAAGTCACTGTCAATAAAGTTTTCACAAAGCTTGAAGGTTTGAACGTGAGACCTGACCCTGTGTGCTTGACTTTGGGCTGTGGTAACCCAAGTACCAGTGTGAGTGGGCTTTGTCTTCAGTGCTACTTAAGTCAGGTTGATAGTGAAGGGAAGGTGGCCACTTTCAAGACGTGTGTTGCAACTGGTTGCAAGGAGTCTGGTTATAGAAAGTTGCAAGGTTTCTGCAGGAGATGTTTTAGTGCTAGTCAGATTATGGATCGGTCAGTAATTAGGAGGTCTTCAGTTGAGAAGGGTCAACAATTATGTACAACACCAAACTGTGAATTTTATGGCCGAAAAGAACAGAATGGACAATGCAGCTGTTGTTTCAAGGACTTCCTGGATAGGGAATCAAAGAGACTTTCAGATTGTTCTGATACTACCAGGAAATCATTAACAAAGAGTCCTTTAGATTGTTCTGAAACTACCAGGAAATCATTAACAAAGAGTCCTGTAGATTGTTCTGAAACTACCAGGAAATCATTAACAAAGAGTCCTTTAGATTGTTCTGAAATTGCTGGGAATTCATCAGCAATGAACCCTGGGATTAAGGACAGCAACTGCAACAAGTGCAGACTCGCCACTGTTCCTCCAGACGTCTATGAACCTATCAACTCAGATGAATTATTTGGCAGTGGAGCTGATGACGGGAAACAGACAGCATTTACAGTCAGCAAACATGATTGTAAGCAGCTGTGTCGTCGGAAATGTGTAGCTGAGTGTGCTCCGTATTGCATGACCTGTTGGGAAGCCTTGAAGCTACAGCCAGTGGAGCAGCAAGCAAGACTGACACAGCATCCTCAAAGTGACCTTCAACCTGCATGTAATCCATCTTCCTCTATGGCAGGGTGTGAGAAGCCTGTGTCCAACTTGACCCTCCCTCCATTACCTGGCTCCACAGAACAAGGTGATGGAACTAAAGCCAGTCCAATGTCACATGATGAAAGTCAGCATGGGAAGAATCCTGAGTCACCACCTTCTGAAACAAGGTCAAGGAAAGGTATTATTACAAGGAATGAGCTGCTTCCAGAAAAATCAACTCAAAAGGGTTCTGACTTACTGAATATGTGGGATAGCCTTGTGGTTAAAGCGTTGGCTCATCACCCCGAAGACCCGGGTTCGATTCCCGACATGGGTACAATGTGTGAGGCCCAATTTCTGGTGTCCCCCGCAATGATGTTGGTGGAATATTGCTAAAAGTGGCGTAAAACTAAACTCACTCACTCCTGAATATGTTAGTTTTGAATTCAGCTAGTTGCAGATCACTTTCACTCTACTGATATCGATGAGTCAAGTCTGTTCAAGAGTTGAGTCATTGTGTATTCATAGGTTTATGCCATGGGAGCCACACCAGTTTACACTTGTTAGAGTGCTACGCATTGTTCCTGATCTAATCTTCCAGTTGTCAGATTTCCATCTTGTGGAAGCTATGGTGTCTGAGTGGGTTAGATCATTGACTTTGTGTGTGGGTGATTTGATGCTGTTTAAACCCTGGATGGGACTCAACCTCCCAAAAGTACTAGAATCTGTCTTTACTGAGAGTATGTAATCCCCAAAATATTACATATGTTACAATTAAGTCATCACAACAATAAACATATATTGATGCATTTGAAAAAATTGTCATGGAATCCATTTTATGTGTAAAAACAAGTTAAGTTTGATAGGCAATGAAATAGGTCACTATTGAGGAGGACAAGAAAACTTGACCATCTTCTCTGCCTTCTACTTGTTCATCCCAATTTCAAGGTTGTCAAGGGTTCATGAGACCCATGAACATCTGGGTTAGAATTAGTCTTCAGCAACCCATGCTTGTCATCTTATCCCATTTGCACAAATTGATGCTCATGTGGTTGATCACTGGATTGTCTAGACGAGACCCGATTATATTATAATAATTATTATGATAATGACACCCATAATAAACCCCTCATTTTTGGAGGTTTGATGAATATAATGATAACAGCCTTTTAGTCTGTATTTCCAATTTGATAGGTACCTATCTAAACATGAGGTGTTCAAACACAGATGTGATACTCAGTTCAAGTGCATACCTCGTGGCACTTTGTACAGAAGCTAGAATTAAACCTGCTTGCCTGCAGAACGATTGGTACTTTCTCTGGTGTCATTGGTTTAAGGGTGATCCAGCTGATCGTAAAAGGCCAGAAAAGAAGAAAATAGGTCTGAAGTTTGTACCCCAGGATATAGCTGACTTCAACAAGGTCTGCTCCTCTGGTGTCATCATCTGCTTGTGGAATAAGCACAACATTGATAATGGTAAATGCTTTAAGTTTTTCATATATTTCCAGTTTCCAGTTATGGTGTGACATATATTGCAGATATAGCAGGGTGGGTCCTCCTGTAGTTGACATTATTACCATGTTAGATTGAGTTGTGGTCATGTGGCTCATAATTGATAAAACATTCACAACAACACCACTGTCATCCCCTTTCAGCTGTAAAACTCTATACTTATCCCCCCTTTCAGCTCCAATCTCATTCATTTTCGCACCGCCCCTGTGGTGTAGTGGTTAGAGTGTCCGCCCCGAGAGTGGAAGGTCATGGGTTCGATCCCCGACCGCGTCATACCAAAAGACGTTAATATATGGTACTTGTTGGTCCCTGCCTGGTGCTTGGTATTAATGGGTACAACAAGGACTGGTCGCCTCGGAGTCAGTATAATGTGTCTGAGTGGGGTATTCATGCTTCACTGCGGCATGGTATCTCAGTGGGCTAGCACTATAAAACCAGCTTAAGTCTGGGCTAGTACAAATCGCCGCACATACACATACATAAGCATGCACGTGGTCATATGAGCTAAATATTCTCAAGAACAACGTTAAACCCAATTTCACCTCACCTCACCTCATTCAGTTTCTTTCAGGAACACATCCTCTGTTTGAGAAGATTGGAGAGGTTATTGAAACCAGTCGTCTTAAGGAATTCAGTAAGTACCCAAAGTGTAAAACATCCATTAGTTGAATCCCTAAAGGTAAGACAGTGGTTGAAAAACTTTCTTTCATGTGAAGTGAAGTGATAACTTGTTTACTGTATTTGAGGAATTCAGCGATGAGAATTTTCCATGGATTGTGCTGGGATCATTCTTGTGAATCGTCTAAACCTGTGACCCCCACCTCATTTTCCTCTTTTTTCACTTATACCTACTCTCATCCCTGGGAATTAAGTCTTCTACTCTTATAATGTGTACCTGACCCACATTTAAACACACTTCATTGCTGTGGAAAAACAATGTTTGGCTATCCTTGCCTTGCTGTGTCAAATATCCAGATATCTTGGGAGTTACAATATGGTCCCGCTGGGTTAGTAATATGGAGGATGACTTCATTATGAAAATATGTTAGTTATACCCAAATTCATAAATCAAACTTAATTCAACATTGTGTATTGTGTGATGCCCATTTCTGGTGTCCCCCCACCGTGATATTGCTGGAATATTGCTAATAGCGGCGTAAAACCCAACTCACTCACTCAACATTGTGTAGTTTTATTAAGCATACTTATGCAGTGTGAGAAATTTACGCTGGTCCTGTGGTCCCTGGCTAGTAAAAATTCATCAGGACCACAAAATGATAAGTTTGCAGTGGTCCTAGTGGCCAGTGAAGTTTGTATTGATAGTTAAGTAAATCTACGAATGTTATTTTGGACCAGTGAAATACAGACAGGACCTCTAATTGTCCACTCACTGGTTCTGTGGTCTAGTGAGAAAATTTGAAAGGTTTCTTTCCCTGCTTATGCGAAATAAGCGGCCATGGCTCAGTGAATATGGTACATATAAACACCTTGTCTTTTACAGGAACATGTCTACAACATGACCAGGTGGTTGCCACTGATGGAGGGAAATCAACAGCTGCCCTTTGTCGTCCACTGTAAATACCACCCTGTGACCAGGAGACAGGTGGCCAGTGCCCTGGTCAGATGCCTCGAGTTTGTTGAAGCGAGCAAGAAGATAAAGACCATATTTCCAGTCAAGTTCTCTGGTAGGAAATTGTTGCTTTTTAGTAATCCATTCTTATGGTCCCTAAGGTAGATAAGTTCTTCACCAGGGGTCTGTGACCAAAGTTTGCAAATATTCCCAAAAATGGAACTAACATTTCGGATTCTGGTAATTGTAAGTCATTATTATGGCTTTCCAACAGTGACAACAGCACCAGAGAAAATGTCTTCTATGCTGTTAGTACACTATTGATCTAAATTCTTAAATACCTTTGAATGACCATGATAAAAAGGAATTTTTAATATCCCGATTTTGGACAGTCACTGCTGCAATGTATGCATGGGGGATGCTCAAATGGGAATAGGGAAACTACATGTAATTGATACTGACAGTTGAATTCACTCTCAAGATCAAACAATAGTGACTACATGTACTTTTGTTCATGATGTCTCAAGAAGTGTTTACTTTTAGAAGATGAAACATTTGTACACATCAAGGTCAAGGTTATTGACATGATCATTCCAACTCAGATTGTAATTGACGGAGTTGATGGGTGAGGAATTTGTTTCTATTATTAGACTATTTGTACCAATATGGAGATCGGACCCTGGAATGTTAGTTTGGTGTCATTAGATTGGATTTGCCTATTGCATAAGTGTTATACAGATAGCTTGTGATTTTCTGTCATAAACCTGTGTTAGGCATGTGATACATGTGGTCTCACCTTAGGCAAGTGAGTTGGTCAAACGTGACTGTTCATCCTGCAGAAAATGGGTACCGGTGGGTTAAGTCATGTGACTATCAACCTTCTAGCGCCTCACAGGCAGCTTGGGTTATCCGGGGTAATGATGATCAGGTTGTGTGTTAGCGTTTTGAACATGTGCCTTGTACATGGAAAAGGTGCATTATAAATTCATAATTATTATTATTATTAGGCATGGGTTTGTTGAAAGTGTATCATGTGACTGGACACTGACATGAAGAAATGACATTAGATACTTGCCTGTGGTAGCACTGTAGAGTTACACACTCAGACACAGACTCAGACACACACAAACATACAGGCACATTGCACACGCACACACGCATGCATACACATAAAAGAAGACAATGCCAAACATGATTTCAAGACTAAATTTGATTTCCAGAAATTATGAATTTATTCTGACATTTGTATTTTAATTTCCAACACATTTTCTCTTCTTTTCCCCCAAACTTAATAAGCATATAGCGTCGCTGGTTTCTATGTTCACACAAATCTGTTGTCTGATTTCCAGATGACCTTTGTGCCAACCTAGATGTGGTGATACCTGCTACCATGTATGCTATATCCAACATCCAGAAGTCCACAAATTACACACAGAACCTGGACAAGTTCTACTTATATGTTGCCAATGAGAGCATTGCAACACAGTGCAAACAGAAGCATCGAGAGATACTGGCTGACAAGGAGAGCAGACAGCGTTCTCAAAGCAGACGTCAAAGTAGGTTGGGTTGTCCTTCCGTCGCCCTGTAGACTCTGTCGTCTATAATGCTCTAATCGTCTTGTACACACCTATACCTGTTGTCATGTACTTGTAGAATACTAAATGAGATCCTGTGTAATACAAAGCTTGAAACAGTTCATAGTTTCAAAATCTGCTGAGCAAATTCCTGCACTTTAGCTCTACATAGAAACTTCAACTTTATAATCATTAAATTTTTACTTTCTTCTATAACCAGGACCAATACTATAACTTTTTGAAAGCAGATTTGAATTGGAATTTCCATCATAAATTAGATGAATGTTATGAATATAGTATTTCACTGTCCATTTCATACCAGTAATATCAATATATGCATTTCAATACTGTCATTGTATTCATACCAGCACTGACATGTACGTACTTGTACTGTCATTGTACACATTTCAGTACTGTCATTGTATTCATTCCAGTACTGACATGTACGTACTTGTACTGTCATTGTACACATTTCAGTACTGTCATTGTATCCATACCAGCACTGACATGTACCTACTTGTACTGTCATTGTACACATTTCAGTACTGTCATTGTATTCATACCAGTACTGACACTTACATACCAGTACTATCATTGTACACATATCAGTACTGTCATTGTATTCATACCAGTACTGACCCATACATACTTGTACTATCATTGTACATTTTTCAATACTGTCATTGTATTCATACCAGTACTGACACGTACAATTTTTCCTTATCCTGACTCATGCTTATTGCTTGTCTCCCTTTCCTTCCGAATGCTAGTAGAACACTTGAATCCCCTTTTTGAAGCTCCCTCCAAAAAAGCGGACGTAAAATCACTTACCAGGAGTCATCTCCCTTCACAGGTTTTGGCGGGAAACGGCGCCACCTGTCTCCCATGCTCCTCACTCTCTCCTAATTGGAGAGAGCACCTGGTCCCCTATACGGCATTATATCCTTTTATTATTTAGGCCTTTCTTCTCCAGCTGTTAAAGGCTTTAGTTAACGTTTACCTACAAATTTCTACGGAATTAATTCTGTTTTATCACTTTTTTACGTGACTGTTCACATTGTTTACAATTGATGAAATCTTGTTCTGTTTGTCGGTATCGATTGTCTGCTGTTGATCCACATAACCTATGTCCTAATTGCAAGCCCGTATGTTTATCTGACTCTTGTTGTCAGTTGTGTTTTCACCTGTCTGATATTGCATTTTACAAATATTCATATTATCTGTCTAGACGTGCAAAGGACAGGTCCAGACGAGATTTACACGACATGGCTAAACCGGCTAAGCTTGCAGAGGACCGGCAGTTGGTGTCTGCGCAGATTCACCATTCCAGTGGTCTACCGGGGTTGTCTACGGAGGAGGTTGCCGCCATAGACAACGCTGGCTCGAGGAAGAGGTCATCTACATCTGATAATTCCTCATCGCAGTCTAAGAAGACTAGGGCATCATCTTCCCAGAGGAAGAAGTCATTACAACTAAGACTTCGCCGAAGTCTCCACATGGGGCAACGCGAGAAAACGAGGTCTTTTTCAGCTGAGATCGTCCCTCTGGAAGAAATAGATGTCTATGATGAGCCACCCATCCTCATCCCTGAGATCACATCTAAGAAGAAGACGAAGACGTCTTCTACAGTGACCACGCAGGACAACCTTTCAATGCAGACGTTCGGCACAGAGGGTCAACGCCGGAAGAAGCCTCATCCGCCTCAGATGCATCGTCATTACAACAGACAACGCAGACCTTCAAACCGGGCTCCTTTATGCAGCAATTTACCCAACAGATGTTGGATCTGATGGAGCAACGGTTCGCACGCGAGAGAGCTGCGACGAACCCGAGTGAAGGTCAACTGAGCTGCACACCACGTCCGTTGGGAACCAACGTCCTGCAGAGCGTACAGGAAGATTCCAGCTCGACTACAGCGTCCGCACGAATACCTGGCAGCCATACCAACGTGGAACCTGCACCAACTACATTCGGCGGAAGGACTAGACGTTCGCCGAACCCACGTAGATCATCATCGACGTCAGATACGGACGTTCGTCACGAACCTGCACGTAACGGTTCGTTACCATGGAGAAGAGAATCAACACCCACACAAAGGCATAGAGATTCGTCACAAGACTCCAACCCTCGACAAAGCCGTTCACCTACATGCAGGTTCGCGCGAAGGCGCACACGATCATCTCTATCTCCACGCAGGTCCCCACGAAGGAAGTCACGAACACATTCACGAACGTATGGTTCACCACGCAGGTCGCCTTACAGATCACCACGCAGGTCACCACACAGATCGTCTTACAGATCACTTTACAGATCTCCTCGTTCAGACGACAATAGAAGACATCCATCCTCAGAGCAGGAAGATGACGGCGGAATTATATTTTCCGAGTCGGAAATCAAGTCATGGATGGCCAACGGTTTGGAACTCGCATCACCCTCTAAGGAGACCAACGAAGCACTATCGTACTTGATGGTGAATGATGATATAGACACACTCATGATGCCACCTATCGACCCTGTCTTAAACGTTCCAGACAACCTCAGCACAGCCTTCAAGAAGGCAACTAAATACCAGACTCAGAGTATTCCGTCGTTCAACGCTAAGAAGTTCTCTCTACACCATATGGAACCCTTTATGAAGGCTCCAGAGATAGATGAGAATTATAAGATCATCAACGACACTCGGACGAAATCTTACAAGATAGAAGATAAAAAGCTGGCACATTTAGACACAGTAACCAGACGAATCTTCTTCGGCCTAGCCAGGTCAAGAGCTATCAATGAGACCCTCATCTCGAAGTTTAAGAATTCAACTTCAGAGGAAGATCGAATGATTTATTCAGCTCTACTTACACAGAAAAAGGATCATCAGTTCATGTCTGAACACCTATCATCCATTTCTGCAGGCTTAACATTATCAAGAAGGCAAGGACTACTAGCTTCCTGTACTTGGAGTGAGAAATTTACCAAGACACTGTACAGAGCTCCTTGGTCAGCACCATCCATTTTTACAGGAGAAATTGATGAAGTCGCCAAAGAAGTCGCTAAAGGTCTCCTCACGTCAGCTCAAGACATGACGCACAGAGGGAGACTACAACTGCGTCCACTACAGAGATTTGTGAACGCTCACTTACACAGTCTGGATCCCTTCAAAATACCAGACAGACTAAAACCATACCTACTATGGTGGACTCAGAAGTCGAATGTTTGCGGCGGAAATTACTTAATAGAGCCGGAGTGCAACGTCCACCTCTACGTAGATGCATCACTGCAAGGATGGGGAGCACACCTCGACAACGAAGTGGCCGCCGGGAAATGGTCGAAACAAGAAATGAATCTGCATATCAACATGCTAGAGATGAAAGCAGTAGTAAATGCCCTACTACATTGGTCTAACATACTAAGAAATGCAAAATTGATGATCCATACGGACAACTCAACAGTGGCGTTCTACGTAAACAAACAAGGATCAACAAGATCTTGGAATCTTCTAGACCTCAGCTTTCAACTATTCAACATAATAGACAATCTGAACATTTATGTGAAAGCATGTCACATTCCGGGAGCCAGGAATGTAATAGCAGATGCTCTATCTCGACCACATCAACCATCCCAAACAGAATGGATGTTACATCCACAAGCATTCAGATGCATCATACAGACGATAGGATCTCCACTCGTAGACCTATTTGCCACAAGATTCAACAATCAACTGGCAACATTCGTCTCTCCAATTCCCGATCCGCAAGCATGGGCGACAGACGCTCTAAGCATCCCATGGGAAGGACTAAATGCGTACGCGTCTGCCTGATTTTCTGTAATACCTGTGGTATTAACGCTGGCAGAGGGAACGCATACGCGTTTAGTCCTTCCCGCCACCAGCGTTAATACCACAAGTATTACAGAAAATCAGGCAGACAAACAATCTACAATTGATTTTGGTCGCGCCTTACTGGCCGGCAAGAACGTGGCTTCCCATTCTCTAACAAGAACTCGGAAAACCAACAATACAACTTCCAGTTTGGTCGAACCTACTAATTCATCCTCACATCAAGCAAGTTCACAAATATCCCAGATCATTCCACCTACATGTATGGAACGTATCACGCGACTTGCTTGTCGAAAAGAGGATACTCCGACAGAGCAGCGAAAGCAGTTACACTAGCTTTACGCAGATCTACTCGTGAACTTGTATGACGACAAGTGGCAAAGCTTTGAGAAATATGCATCGAGGAAAGGTTTCACAGCAGTGAAAGCAACACATCCTCAAGTGGCGGAATATCTTTGTCATCTCAGACAAATAAAGAGATTAAAAGGTTCGACATTATCTACATACCTAGCGACTCTCAGCTCAGTTATCACTATGAAGACAAGAATGAAACTGACGACAGTGCCAGAGTTACTGGCCTTGCTACGCTCTTTTAAACTGGAAGACCAACAAAGGAAATTTAAAGCGCCGGCTTGGGATCTCAACGTGGTGTTACGACATCTCACCAGTGATGCGTACGAACCACTAGAAAGAACTTCTTACGAATTTCTTACACAGAAAACGCTATTTCTGATCGCCTTGGCAACAGCGGCGCGGATGTCAGAAATACATGCTCTGGACTTCGAACAAATACGTTTTGACACACGTCGCAACATAGTTCATCTAGGATTGAGATGGGATTTCATAGCTAAGAATCAACTGCCAGGTCAACCGGACAGACAATTCCACATCCCAGCATTATCTACAATCCTTGGTCCACAGGATATACAAGACTTATCTCACGTACTAAGATATCAGTTTGGATGAGAGCAATCATACTACGAGCCTACAAGGCAGCAGGACTTGAGCCTCCACGAGCCTCCAACCCGCACGAAGTTAGAGCATTGGCATCTACACTCGCTCTACATGGAAACTGCTTAATATCCACGATCATGGAAGGGTGTTTTTGGAAATCGGAGACAGTGTTTGCTAACCACTACCTCAGAGACATCGCTACCGAGGGCGTCTCCGGTATCCACCAGTTTGGGCCTCTGGTTGTAGCACAACAGCTGACGGTCCCGCAAAGGCGCTGAGATGTATCTCGCCCTTTTACCGCATGTCATGCAAAGCTCGTACTCCATGTACTCGTCTAGAACAGACTAGCATGAATATTGGACCCTGTACTTGTAAGGAATTATTTGTACAAGGATAGGGTTACTGCTCCACTTGATATGAACATCAAGAGTTGGAGTTATTGAAATCCACATGTACGGTTAAAGAAGAGTTTGATATATTGTGGTCCCCACAATTTACCAGATAAAATTCGACATATGGATCAACAGCAGCAGCAGTGCCATTAAAAGTTCCCATGGGGGTTAAATAGGACGTAAATTCATCACTAAGGAATCCAGAAGTGGCTTGACCCACCACCAATTCCGTCGGATTCTACAAGCAATAAGCATGAGTCAGGATAAGGAAAAATATGTAATTTTCTGAATAAAATGGATATTTTATACTTATCCTGACTCATGAGGTGAGCCCTCCCAACCTCCCCTCATGGCACTCTGGATTTCCCAGTAAATCAGTGTGTCGGGCTGTAAAATATGGAGAGAGTGAGGAGCATGGGAGACGGGTGCACCGTTTCCCGCCAAAACCTGTGAAGGGAGATGACTCCTGGTAACTGATTTTACGTCCGCTTATTTTAAGGGAGCTTCAAAAAGGGGATTCAAGTGTTCCACTAGCATTCGGAAGGAAAGGGAGACAAGCAATAAGCATGAGTCAGGATAAGTATAAAATATCAATTTTATTCAGAAAATTACATTTCCAGTACTATCATTGTACACATATCAGTACTGTCATTGTATTCATACCAGTACTGACACGTACATACCAGTACTATCATTGTACACATGTCAATGCTGTCATTGTATTGATACCAGTACTGACCCATACATATTTGTACTATCATTGTCATTGTATGCATACCAGTACTATTATTTTGTATTTCAGAATGTCACAAATGCAAGACAAATCCAGCATGTAAGATCATATACTTCAACCTAAAGTCTTGTCTAAACTTCACAAAACACACCTAAAGATAATTCTTGGGATGCCAAAGAAGAAATGAGAATGTTACTTCAGAGTTGATTAGCAGGCTTTAAACACTACCAGATAATGTATATTGTTTTCAATGTTGCGCACGTACGAGTTTCATTACAATATGTCATTTACTTTTAATGAAAAGTTCAGAAGCCTTGAAAAGCTCACGAGAGGTAATAGAGAAAAACAATGTGTGAAGCCCATTTCTGGTGTCCCCCGCCATGATGTTGCTGGAATTTTGCTAACACCTGTGTAAAACCAAACTCAGTCAGTAATAGAGAAAAATGTGATTTGTTTTGGCTGCACACGATTATGTTACTACGTTCATACCAGTAGTAGTACTACACAAAAGAATTACAGGACACCTGATTTTATAATATGACTTTGATCTGTCATAAAACATTCATGATGATTATGAAAAAATCAGTGTTCCTCAGCTCCTTTTGAGAGCTACATTTAGAAGACATTGACAGTTTTATTTTCTAAATGTTCACATATATCGTCAACAAACAGTAGTGTTGTCCCAACTAAAATATGTCAATCAAAGTTTGGTTCCTTAGCTAGATCAAACGTAAATACAAATTGTTGTTTAGAAGGTAGTTTAACTTCATTCTTTTCACAAATACCCATGAGAGTCTCATTTGCAGTGTAACGTGCTAGCAACCCTCTCACTAAAACAAGTGAAGGATGAACACAGAATGTTATTGTAATTATATGTGTCCTGTTTTCTTCAGCGAAATTGAAGCCTCTGCCTCTGTCTGGTTCATGCAAGGATGAGTGTGCTGTGTTTTGTATCCAGTGCTTGCAGGAGGGACGACACAATCAGCTTGACTGCCCCAACCACGGCCCATGCTTCTCTCCTATAGGTGAGATGTAACAATGGCATTTGACCACTTTCTAAATGGCATTTGTGTATTCCTAGCGTATTGTCATTCATCTTTTATGAATATATATTTCAGTGTTAACTCTTGACCTTGAACTGGTCAGTACTGTGAGTTCTTAATGTCAGGGGCATTGGGGTAGCCTAGTGGTTAAAGCGTCCACTTGTCACGCTGAAGACCCGGGTTCGATTCCCCACATGGGTACAATGTATGAAGCCTGTGTCTGGTGTCCCCCGCCATGGTGGATATAGCAAACTGATGGATATAGCAAACTGATGGATATACCAGACTGATGGATATACCAGACTGATGGATATACCAAACTGATGGATATACCAAACTGATGGTTATAGCAAACTGATGGTTATAGCAAACTGATGGATATACCAAACTGATGGATATACCAGACTGATGGATATACCAGACTGATGGATATAAAAACTGATGGATATACCAAACTGATGGATATAGCAGACTGATGGATATACCAAACTGATGGATATAGCAAACTGATGGATATAGCAAACTGATGGATATAGCAAACTGATGGATATACCAAACTGATGGTTATAGCAAACTGATGGTTATAGCAAACTGATGGATATAGCAAACTGATGGATATAACAGACTGATGGATATACCAAACTGATAGATATAGCAAACTGATGGATATAACAGACTGATGGATATACCAAACTGATGGTTATAGCAAACTGATGGATATACCAAACTGATGGATATAGCAAACTGATGGATATAGCAAACTGATGGATATAACAGACTGATGGATATACCAAACTGATAGATATAGCAAACTGATGGATATAACAGACTGATGGATATACCAAACTGATGGATATACCAAACTGATGGATATAGCAAACTGATGGATATAACAAACTGACTGATGGATATACCAAACTGATAGATATAGCAAACTGATGGATATAACAGACTGATGGATATAGCAAACTGATGGTTATAGCAAACTGATGTATATACCAAACTGATGGATATAGCAAACTGATGGTTATAGCAAACTGATGGTTATAGCAAACTGATGGATATAGCAAACTGATGGATATAAAGGACTGATGGATATACCAAACTGATGGATATACCAAACTGATGGTTATACCAAACTGATGGTTATAGCAAACTGATGGATATACCAAACTGACAGATATACCAAACTGATGGATATAGCAAACTGATGGTTATAGCAAACTGATGGATATACCAAACTGATGGATATAGCAAATTGATGGTTATAGCAAACTGATGGTTATAGCAAACTGATGGATATAGCAAACTGATGGATATACCAGACTGAAGGATATACCAGACTGATCGATATACCAGACTGATGGATATACCAAACTGATGGATATACCAAACTGATGGATATAGCAAACTGATGGTTATAGCAAACTGATGGATATACCAGACTGATGGATATACCAGACTGATGGATATACCAAACTGATGGATATACCAAACTGATGGATATAACAGACTGATGGATATACCAAACTGATGGATATACCAAACTGATGGATATAACAGACTGTTGGATATACCAAACTGATCGATATACCAGACTGATGGATATAAAAACTGATGGATATAACATAATGATGGATATACCAAACTGACCGATATAACAAACTGATGGATATAACAAACTGATGGATATAACAGACTGATGGATATACCAAACTGATGGATATACCAAACTGATGGATATAACAGACTGTTGGATATACCAAACTGATCGATATACCAGACTGATGGATATAAAAACTGATGGATATAACATAATGATGGATATACCAAACTGACCGATATAACAAACTGATGGATATAACAAACTGATGGATATAACAGACTGATGGATATGACAAACTGGGTTATTTTGTTGTGGCCTCCAGCTATATATTATAGTCAAAATGTGTACCGTATATGACCGTCTATAAGATGACCCCATGGATAAGCCGACCCCCAAACTTGACCCTCAAAATCAGTGTCAAAATCATATCTCTCATGGATAGGCCGCCCCCCCGCGATGGCCAACAGAGACCAAAGTACCCGGTAAGTATGTTCCATCAACGACGAGACACCATTATGAGAATATTACATAATAAAGATTACTGGTGTTTACCTTTTTTTAACGATCAGCGTAAGTGTTGGTGAGAATATTACATAATAAAGATTACCGGTGTATTGTGGCAACATGTGTTTGTGTTCCTTTTTATATCCCGACGATCATTGCTTGCATCAACAACGAGATGCCATTTTGTGAAATCGGTGAGTATGGAAATGTGAACCCAAGAGAAAAAGTACCATCGGTAAATAAAAACTGAAGTCAACTTTTGTTTCAAAATGTATTATTTAAGTGTCCATATTTCATCTATATATATATGACAATAAGAAAAATAGTCCACTAACAATAAACACTGACATTTCTGCAAGAGAGTTCTGAGATTTCCACAAGTCATCGGCCGTAAATCCATCAAATTCCGTGTCACTGTCCTCGCCAGCCAGTTCCGTCCACGCTAATTCGTTGGTTGTATCATCATAGTAATCATCCAGATTGTCACAAATAAGCACATCTTCTTCTTCTTTTTTTTCGGTTTTAGTCCAGAAATTCCTTGAACAAAGCATCGTCCTCGGATCCGTCCATCGCATTTGAAATGCCACACTTCAAGAACGAATTCTTAATCATGATGGTGGGAATTTCGGTCCACGAGTCCCTGACCCATCTTGCTACTTCGTGGAGTGGAGCCTACAGACTGCTATTTTTGGTCCTTAAAATTCGGCCTATAGACGGTCATATACGGTATAACGAATTACAGTCGAAACAAACTAAAATTAGCTGTACCTTTGAGTTTGTTATTACCATAGTTATTACTGTAATTTATGAAATTTTTACAGGTCACCAGAATACATTTGCATTACTTGTCGCTGGGTACGACAAAAGAGAAAATGTGGCCAAACTGTTTGTTGCTGATGTGCGGGACATGGAGAAGACATTATTGGACGAAACTGTGATTGGCATCAGGTGAGAGGACTGTTTTTATCATGCATCAGTGATACCGTCGTTAAACATGTGATGTATATATTAGAGCGACATAACAAATAGTCACTTGTTTCTGTGACTAGGATGACTTTTTTCAAGAAATAGAATTTCTAGCCAAGTGTGTTTCTGTATCATAAATATACAGTAGTAATAAAAATTGTTTCAATATATATTATATGGTAGACAATGATAATAATCTATTACATGTATAATGTCATTCTTATAAAAGAGGTGTTTAAGACTTTTCGCTCAAAGATATAGCTTTGTAGAGCATGTATGTGTACAATGTTTGAGTGAACTTCCTCATATATTATATCGTGCCAAATGCCTTGCAGCTATGTTTGTTGCCATGTTTTGCAACAAACTGGGAAACCTGTATCTAAACATGTCATGAACATTAGGCTTTAATTGAGCAATTTGGCATCCCACTAATGTGTGCAGCTTGAAAGGTTTTCCTGCTAGGTGACCTCATTTGCATATCTGTTGGATCATGATACCAAATTTATCTTCAGATCAATAACATAAGCCTTTATATGATTTTTGGGTTTATGGCTTATGATACCCCTAAATAATGAAATATTTCTCCCCAACTACCAACTCTGTAAAGGATATACATGGTGGTAAGAATACTTCATTAAGAGTGTCTCCTTTAGTTTCGATCACCCCAGAATGCCTTGTTTGCTCTGGGACATAAGGTTCTTCAAGTTGTAGTTACTTTGTGATAGGACAACAATTGATTGTCGTTCAGTGTTTGATATGAAGGTATGTATGGTTAGAATGAGTAGGATATTACGTTAACTATGTGTTCATATTCTTCTTACAAAATTTATATTCTGGCCTCATATTCCAGAACATTTCAGGTAAGGAGTGAAAGAGTATGATTTTATGCCACTTTTAGCAATATTTGTGCAATAGCATCACTGGGGACACCAGAAATGGGCTTCACACAATGTACCCATAATTGGAATCGAACCCAGGTGTGCCGGGTGATCGCTTTAACCACTGTGCTACCCTAACACCCCTACTGTGTAAGAAGTTCACGTTGATTCACACATTCCTCTAACAACAAAACACCTACTTGTTAAGAGATTCAATGAGTGTAAGTGGACCACTTGGTCGGAGGCACAATGAGTGAACGTTTTAACCACTAGGCCACCCCATCGCCCCTTCAGGTAAGGAACCATTCTTCATAGCTATATGTTTTCCTTATTCCTTGGACTGTCACTCCAGTCTGAACAACAAATTGTCAAAGTCTACCTGGGCTAAAAGAGCTTTATAGGGATGTCTGAGTGCTAATATTGTCTTGTCTGTCCATAGGAAAGAGAACATCCAAGTCGTACAGACAGAAACTCCTGCAAAAAGGATGACATGAAAACAAAACTCATGGATGCTTTCAAATATTTCGAGAAAGGTTCTGGGAAAGACAAGGACCATGCAAGGTTCTATTTCTACTATTCTGGACATAACACAGACACAAAAAAGTTAAGATGGGAGACAGAACAAATGACATTACTCCTAAGGAATTGAAAGAGGAGCTGAAAAAGTTACATGTTGAAAGCATAATCATCATCCTTGACTGTTGCTACAGTGCAGGAGTTGACGTGATTCCAGACGACCACGGGGAGGACTTCATGTCACTAGGCAGCTGCTCCAAGGATGATTCTGAGCCACTCTCATACATCCCCAGGTTATGGAATCTAGAGAGCAGCGATGACTGCGGGGACAAGGGAGATGAGAGAAAGGTATACCAGTGGTCGTCTTCCAAATGCAAAGAAAAATCATCATACAACAGAGAGAAGGGTGGTAGTTTGTTTACGTTGTCGATTGTGAAGGCAATGATGGGTTTGTGTCCTCTTGAGGAGGATGCTTGTCAACAATGTAATGAGTTTGAATTGGAGGTCAGGAATCAACATGGAGTTTTTCTGGATGCAATCAGAGCAACTGTATGTTACCATGTTAAGAAACTGGCCAGCAACATAGACAAGATTCAGAACCCAATGCTGGACAGCAATAATGATGATGATATCCTCTTGTCATTTCACACATTCCCTTAGTGAAAGACATTATGATTAACACTGACAGAGGATGATCCTGGAAACTTTGTTGTTTAACGCCACTCGTCAACATTCCTTGAAGTCTTGTTTAGAATCTAGAAAACACAACCAGTGCCTGATATTATGAGCAATGCCGTGCAATCAGCCAGGTCACCAAGTTTGATGGCCGCTGCCATATACTTGGAATATTGATGAGTGCAACATATAAAACAACAAACAAACAAACGTTGGCCCTGATTCAAGTTTACACACAAAAGATGCATTACTGACCAAAGGGAACTTTTGAAATGATAGTGAAGGTAACATGACCAAATAAAGGTCATAAAATTAATTTGGGGGATTTCCACTCTTAGATGCAAGAGGTCTGAGTATAAGTTATTATAATATAGAAGGAAATGGTATGACTGTAGGTGACCACCAGAGGACCGGGATTTCCACTGCTCTGGTTCAGTAGTTTTGAATATAATTTATTGGTCAATATAGAAGGAAATGGTATGACTGTAGGTGACCTCCAGATGACCGGGATTTCCACTGTTCCAGTTCAAGAGGTCTGAATATAATTTATGGTCAATATAGATGGAAATGGTATGACTGTAGGTGACCTCCAGATGACCTGGATTTCCGGTGTTCTGGTTCAAGAGGTCTGAATATAAGTTATGGTCAATATAGAAGGAAATGGTATGACTGTAGGTGACCTCCAGATGACCGGGATTTCCGGTGTTCTGGTTCTCCCTACAGATAAATCTAGGAATGATATGATTTACAGGGTCTGTTGTCAAGGTAATATGAAAGTTTTACTTTTTCAGATGAACTTATCAAATGAAGGTCAAGTTTACTGCCCGAGCTTATGAATCAGTTCGGTACACTTTGTACAGTCTTATATATACATCTAGTGGCATCATATTATTGTTCTAACAGGGCACTCATTTGATCAAATGAATAACCTGGTAGAGTGAGTGAGTTTAGTTTTACGTCGCACTCAGCAATATTCCAGCTATATGGCGGCTGTTGGTGGAGAGGGATTATGAACAGGATGAGCAGAATAGTATTAGGGTTTAGAAATTACTGTGATAAAAGGCTTGTGAGTCACCTTTAAACAGCTAAGTTAAAACACAAATGAGTCTAAAATATTCAATTATATTTTGAATAAAAGATAAACAAGGTTACAATGAATGACAGTGCACATTTCTAATGCAATACGATTGGGTCACAAATCTAATATATTAACTTAATGTCAATAGTGACCAAAGTTTTGATCCTTGTAGATATACTGATTGAAGTTTGTTGACAGCTGTTGAAAGTTCAATATAGACCAGGCCTCTTGAGTGGTCAGTCTTCAAACCTTGATGTTACAAGACAGATGAGCGTAAATCCAAAGTTGTTCCCCTTATACTTATCAGGGTACACCTGCAGAATACCGGATACCTACCAGCCATATTGTTTAGTGTCATGTCACCCTATCCCTAAGGCTAACCCTAAACCTTACCCTAACCCTAACCAAAACTAAACTCGCGAGCTTTCAAAGATGGCGGAAGGTATCCGGTATTCTGTAATCTTACCCATATCAGCAACCATTCCTTATATACCTATTATACAGTTCTAGAGAATTCTAGCAAAAACTATGCCACACCACCACCATCTAGAAAGTACTGTAATCCCACCATCTTCAACCAGAAGCAAAACAAACAAAGGGAGGAAAACTAAGTTCTATGGATAGTCAACTTCTTTATTGCAATGAGTGCGACGTTTCGGTGTAGGTACTAACACCATTATCAAGCAAGTGATACAACAATTTGAAACAAGGAGGATATATACATTGCTGCATAGTGAGTATAAACAATTAACAAGGTTGATGTACATTGGATATTTGATAAGTGATTTGAGCAGAGGAGGTTGATGTACAGAGTGATTGATTGTGATTATAGTTGAGTTATACAATTGATGAGTTTGACGTACAATGAGATGATGATAAGTAAGTAGGTTGAAGTACACTAGTTGCCTTCATCCTCACAACTTCTAAAATGCCTCTCAAAGAACTCAAACAAAGGGAGGTAACTCCTCAGCTTACTCTTAACAGGTGAAATTACATAGCTTAAGTTCAAGATGCTTTAAACTTTTGTGACCCATAACAACTAAAAGGTAATCAATGTGACATTATAATTAACAAAAACACATCATCATAATAATAGTGAGAATTGAAACCAGAGATGTCTTTGATATGTTTCAATGGATCAAACCAGCAATGTTCGTATTTGTAAACTAACCAGATCACCACTTGGTTACAGAGACACTGATCAACACCAAACATTTTAACAATTTCTTTTCAAGTACATGTGCAATAGAAAGAGACATTTTACCTTTGTTTCCCAAAGATTCATGGAAAGTGTTTGCAACAATAATTGCTGGTAAACATGTTAAGTAAATGTAATTTTAGATTTTTCTTTGGGCTTTTATGCAAGATGAAATGCCCTCAGTTATTTTTGGTGATTTAAAACCATGGGTTATGATGGATTTCAGTATATAGAAAGTGTTTGTTAGGTCCACTTATGGATAACTGCTGATGAAACAATTTCTGATTGAAATCATTTAGGAAATTACATTGTATTTATTTTAGAAATCACAATGATTTAATCATTATGGATGTATTTATCTGATATTGCTTTGATAAATTAAGGAATCAAATTCCTTTTCATATTTTCTAACATGAATTTGGATTCCTTACTATTAATATTGTGAAATAAAATTTGGAGAAATTTGTTGTAGTGTGTGACATATTAAAATATCAGTGAAGCTTGTCAGCACGCATATTTACAAGTTAAAGGACACCCCCATTTGGTTATAACATATGTTCCATTTGACCGCTTTCTAAATAGCAATGTGTAATCATAGCTTTCGGTCGTGGGAGCCCACTTATCAGAGTGGTACACGAAGTCAGCACTCAAGACTACCAGTTGTCCGACTTCCATTTGGAGGTTGCGTTGGCTGAGGGGGTTAGGCGGCTGACAAACCAGCAATGTTCGTATTTCTAAACTAACCAGATCACCACTTGGTTACAGAGACACTGATCAACACCAAACATTTTAACAATTTCTTTTCAAGTACATGTGCAATAGAAAGAGACATTTTACCTTTGTTTCCCAAAGATTCATGGAAAGTGTTTGCAACAATAATTGCTGGTAAACATGTTAAGTAAATGTGGTTTTAGATTTTTCTTTGGGCTTTTATGCAAGATGAAATGCCCTCAGTTATTTTTTGGTGATTTAAAACCATGGGTTATGATGGATTTCAGTATATAGAAAGTGTTTGTTCGTCCACTTATGGATAACTGCTGATGAAACAATTTCTGATTGAAATCATTTAGGAAATTACATTGTATTTATTTTAGAAATCACAATGATTTAATCATTATGGATGTATTTATACGCATATTGCTTTGATAAATTAAGGAATCAAATTCCTTTTCATATTTTCTAACATGAATTTGGATTCCTTACTATTAATATTGTGAAATAAAATTTGGAGAAATTTGTTGTAGTGTGTGACATATTAAAATATCAGTGAAGCTTGTCAGCACGCATATTTACAAGTTAAAGGACACCCCCATTTGGTTATAACATATGTTCCATTTGACCGCTTTCTAAATGGCAATGTGTAATCATAGCTTTCGGTCGTGGGAGCCCACTTATCAGAGTGGTACACGAAGTCAGCACTCAAGACTACCAGTTGTCCGACTTCCATTTGGAGGTTGCGTTGGCTGAGGGGTTAGGCGGACTGACTTTGTTCCACACAGGTCAAATAGTGTAGTAAACACGTTTTGAAGGGAACTGAACAATCAATACCACGGAGATCTGGGGATACAGTAAATGGGTAAGGTCGAACCAAAACATTGTGTATTGAACAAACTTTATGGTTAACAACTTCTTTTTATTCGCATGAGTGCGACCTTTGATGTAGATTCTTGTACCGTTGTCAAGCAGTAAAGAATCGGTATGGAAAAATGGCACTTTCGTGAAATGGATTGTTATCCATAAAGTTTGTTCAATGTTGTACGTGTCAACCTCTAAAGTGCCACTCAAAGAAGACTAAACATTTTAACTGTGATTTAGCGGTACGAATCCCTCTCATGGATAGTCTTATATCAGTTTGTGAAGTCTCTATGTTTAAAATGCCACTCAAATAAAACAAAACATTTTGTCTATGATTAAGCGGTACTGACACTGACACACACACACACACACACACACACACACACACGCACGCACGCGCGCGCGTTAAAGGCGACTTACGGGTTCGGGTGGTCAGGCTCGCTGACTTGGTT